TATGAGAAATTAGAGCAAACGTAGTTCAGGATAACTAGACCACTGGTTGGTTCAAGATTTTTATGAATGATTTTAAATCTCCATTCTAGCAGTTAGGGACGATGGCTGTTTGTGGTAGAACAGAAACATAACATACTATTTCTGAAAATTAGATTTGAAACAATCCCGAAGGATGAAAAGGTTTGAGTCTTGTTTGTGTTTTTTAAAAGAAGTGAATTGATTTAGTTTGTGACTCATGTTGTACTAAAGACTATGACATAAGAGATAATGCGTCGCATATCGCCCAAAGGGCATACGCTAAACACTCTAGACAATGTGAGAAGTTCCCCCTCACTCATCATTTCTCATGTACTTAAGGCCCGTAGCGTACAATACTTGTTATTCTTTACTAAGTATCTTAAAGGATTCTGAGATAAGAAGAGAAGACACAAGACTCTAAAGGGAACTATAAATCCAAATGTTATCATGGAAAGTGGTCCTAAAGTTGGTATTGAAAAGGGAACTACCTAATGTTATCATGCAAAGGATTGAAAGCCTAATGTCTCTCCTACTCCCATCTTGAATAGAGGGACTAGGAATCCTAAGGGATCATGTGAACAAGCACAAGTAAACACAATGCATAATTAATCACAGATGAAAATGAAATGAAAGAATTAAATAAGTCTATGCGAGAAGGAAAGAGATATGAAATGCAAAAACAAATGCAAACATGAAACAATGCAACAAGACAAACACAAGTCACAAAGATGGAAGAATTAAACAAGTCAAGAAAAGATGAGAGGAAATGAGAGAAGCAAGCTCCTACAATCAAATGCCATCAATCATCACAAGAAGCAAAATGCTAAGCAAGGAAGCACAATCAAATAAGTGAAGGAGGAAAGAGAGTGGAACAACAACCACATCATAAACATCTCAACCATACAATTTGTAATGTGCGCATGGGCCTCAGGACTAGGGGTGTGGAAATCAATTATGTTAAGCCCAAAACCCAACTGAACTCAGTTTCCAAGTGAAATGATGTGTTTCACTTATCCAGGCCAGATTCAACATAACACACAAGCATGGTCAACGCTAACACACCAAGCCACCTCAGGTCAAGCCTCAGACGTTGGAGCCCTAGCTCCGGTCATCTTCTCAGGCGAGCTTCACCGGAGCTGACCAAAAACCACCATAAAAATCCAAACTCTTGGCATCATCTCAAAGGTTTTTTACGTTGAATACAAATATGGTGCTAGTTTTTTTAAAAGGTTCCTAGAACTAGGTGAAATTAGGCCACAAATATTTGATGCACAATTTGAAATTCAATCAAACAGCCATGAAAACTATCCAAACATTTCCTACATGAAGTAGGTCTCCAGATGCACCAATCATGAACCTAAATGTGTGCTTAAAATGTAAAATTTAGTTCAAAGAAGTTTACCTAATGGAGTTGCTCTGTTGGCTCTTCAAATTCCTTGCAAGCTTCAATCTGATGCTCTCAACTTCCTCCTGATGCTTGTGTGATGATGAATTGGGCAAAGGGTTAAAGGAAAACTCAGTGATATATCAGATTCGAAGAGAGAGAATATTGTGAAATTTCTTGATCAAACTTGCTATTTTCGCAGCTACCAACCTCTCCTTCCATTTAGGGTTTATCCAAATAATTAGAAGGAGGTATTTTAGAAACGAAAGTTTGAGCGACACGTCATTCAAGGCGTACGCCTCAATGGTAGCCCCTCTCGAATTCGAGGAATGCGCGACTCCAAGAACTCGACTCTTTCGTGATTTAATTATGAAAACGATTTGAAAATATTAGCGTACTCGGACTAGGCGCGCTAGATATTCTAGAAAATAAGATCGGGAGGGTCACAACTCGAGGTGTGCACCTCGAGAGCGGTTGCTTTTAAAAAAATTCAAGGAAGGCGGGATCCAAGAATTTAATTGTTTTAAAACTTGTATGAGAAAATTGTTTAATTTAATTAAGAAAAATAGTTTTAATTTTCATATAAAATAAATTAATCAATTGTAAAGAGTTTTGAGAAAAATCAATCATAACTAATTGTTTTGAAGAAAAAAGTTTAATATCTTAACTTAATTATAATTAATCAATTATTTTTTTAATACTTAAAATATTATTATAATTAATTGTTTTTTTAGAAAAAAAAAGTTTAATGTCTTTAAGAAGAAATAAGTTTTAAATAAAGTACATTTTTTGAAAAGTTTATTATTTAAAAGTATTAATTTGGTAATAATTTTGAAATGTTTTTTATTTTAAAAGAATGAATATTTGGGATTTATTATAAAAATATCTAATTAATAAAAATAATTATTTTAAAGTATCTTTTTTTAGAAATTTCAATTAAATTGAATAAAAACAAGTTTTGAAAATCGAAAAAAGGAACAACCACAACTCAAGGGCGTGCGCCTCGAGAGTAGTCGTTCAAGAATTCAAGAGGTGCTAGACCTCAAGAATCCACTACTTTCGTTGCTTAATCAAGAGAGAGAGAAAATTGAGTTTTTACTTGTATTGAAAAAAATATGTTGAAGCATAACAATATTGAATTACAAAATCCATGAATTAGAGTTTGATTTTATCGCGACAAAACGACTCAAAACTATTTATCATATCCAAAACCAAACCATGAAAACTACCATACTGCAGTAAGAAATCAAATTGAGTCATAAAAAATATATGCATAAAATCTCTAATCATCATATATATTGTAATGAAATTAGTTACAAGGATAACATCAACCTACCCATAGAGAAGCCAAGTGACCCAAATGCACTACCACACATACAGCCATGCGCTGGATCTATCCACACCACCAATTATATGGCCACGTAATGCAGTTTCATTGATACTACTGCCCTGTATTGTTGCCAAGTAGCTATGGTGGCATGGAGAAACATCTGATGAATGAGCTCCTTCCACAACAATTAATTGGAGCTGCAACACCACACAAATCTGGAAGAATGGTAGTTTGTCGTTGCTGAGCGGTTGTGTTGCTGCTGAAAGTATTGCTCGAAGCGTTGTCGCAAAGCTGAAGCTTATGACCGGTATCGAATATATTGTGGCTGCGTGAAATAGGAACTAGCGGATGACTCTAATATCATTAAGTTGCAGCAACAGCCTGTCACAAGGGTGATACAACTCGCAGGCGACAGTGTAATATGCACAAAGAACTCAAACATTAAGTTTCAACGTTAGTTCTGAAAACCATAGAAAATGTGCAGCAACATAATGTTGATACCAGCATGATAAACACAACACAGTCCGCGTCAAAAACAACAACGATGATATTAGATGCATATTATGAAATAAAATGAAATTGTTACCGCAATATGAAAACAACAAACACAGCTACGAGCTGATACAAGCTGAAACAGTCGTTGCTGAGATATAGAAACTCAAAGCTTTGTGTTGTCGGAGTTTTGCGAAACTGTCGGGTGAATTTCGAGCTAGAATGCATCGATACTGATATCGTTGTAATGGCTCGAACATCTATGTGCCATAAACCATGTCCGCTTGTGAACGGAGAGCTAAACTCGGCACCATCAGGAACCTGCAAACAGAAACAACAAATATGGCATCTTTGAACCAGCATCTACGCACAGAAATGCATCAGCGTGGTCCTCTTCTAATCTCGCATCCCATTGAAACAGAGGCGTATGTAGCTATCATTGTTTCATGTACTCATCCATTAGTTCAACCATGGTTTGAAAATGCAGAATGCACCATATTTAAATGAGTTCACAGCTATATGACTAATATCTAAATCTAACAGCAAGATAACATCATATGAACAACAAAAAAAAAACTGAAGGCTCTTGAATCTGCAAGAGGTATGGTATTAGTATGCTATAAGATTCAATCAGACCACAACCAAAAAGAACTCACGCAGAACAACAATAAGCAAAATTACCGACACCGCTTTCGTCAACGTCGTTGAAAAAAAAAACCTGTTGTTAGCCCTGCTAACGATGCAACACAAATCCTGGAGGGAGTTATTGTTGCGGTTGTGGTTTTGTAGATGTACTAGCCGGGATGCTTTCGTTATGGCAGCTGAAGGTGAAAATGAAAGGACTGCTGAAGGAATTCAGAGTGTTTAGTGGAGGCAACTGCAAATTGCGACTCTGTTGCGAATTTGTTATGTTGTTGATCTGAACCAAGTTGGGTTCAAACTCCTATAACCTACATCCACCAAAGAAAAAACAGAAAAGAAACTGGATCCATAGACACACTGATTCAGGATGATGACATGAGCCTGACTACTCGATGTTACTGTGAAAACCCAACCGAAATACCATTGTTGTTAATATTGTTGTTCTACTACCGCCATTGATACATAAACATTTAACAGAACAAAAACAACATTACAACATTAAAGTAAATGTCATCACACAATACTAAAGTTTCACCAGGAATCCAGTCATGAAACCACACATACTACAATGATATTTGGAATGAAATTCAAATTAATATTAAACGTTAAGTTCAGAATTAATATGAATATCAACAATATTTACAGAAATTCATCACTTATGCCAAATACCAAAACACCAACCGAAGCAAAAAAATTGTAAACAATGTATACAACGGGAGGTTCGAACAACATACATAACATGAGCCAGACAACATTCAAGCCATCATAATACTATCCATCATTACTACATCAATTGCAAACAAGAATGAACACGGTAAATCGAAACAAATAAACGAAAGAAATAATACCATTTCAGCATCGACGTATCGAGTACCTTCACCGGTTTAAGCTAGCTCAGATGCGTATTCCCCGCGTGAATCGTGAGTCCCCTAGTTGTCGCTCGTTGTTTGGTGTTAACTGGTTGCTATGGCGTTCTTGTTAGTGAGATGCTGCGACTGATGTCGAGTTTTAGTCCAGATATGTGACATCATCGGAATCAACGTCGCAAACGAGCTAGGGATCCGCTGCTACCATTTCAAAACGGCGTGAACTGCCATGTTATTGTTGCAAACTGCTGTTGTACCATTGAACAAGTTAAACTGCCTTTGGCTTTGACTTAATTTGCTTCACCCTTGAGTAGAGGAAAACACCAGCAAGACCAACAGCAGTACCTAAAGCATTCACAGGAGAGACAGGTGTTTCGAAGATGATCACAGAGCTCACAATAACCACAACACGCTTCACACAATTGCCGACGGAATGAGTAACAGGTGATACCATATTTAATCCAGCAGATTGCAGATAAGCAGGGGTGAATTTGACACTCTCCATAAAGATAGCTGCAGGTGGTGATTGGTTTGTCACATTGGAAGCCATTGCACTCCAAAACTCAGCCCAATCGAAAGAGGCCTCAGTAACAGAAGCTAGAGCAACTCCACCAACAATAGGCACAAGGGAACCAATCACCCATGGTGTAGGCCTCTCTCCAAGAAACATGGCAGAAAGGATAACAGAAAAGAAAGGCCCCATAGCTTTAATAGTGTGAGTAAAAGACACAGCCACCTTTCCAAGACTCATATTGGTGAAAAGGTTCCCCAAAGTATGCACAATAGCAAGTGGAAATATAGATGCAAGCATAGCGCCATTGATTTTAGGCCTCTTGTAGAGATTAAGAGCCCACATAACTGATACAAGAACAGTCCCAACAGCAAACTGAACTACAGTAACAGTTACAGGAAAATGACATGCTTTCAACACCTATTTATTATAGATATTGAAGTAGATGTTGAAGAGGTACCACAATCCGAACAAGGATCCAAGTTAAAGAGTTTTGAGCAAAGAATTAAAGTCAGCAGATTCACCGGCGCTTTCGGAAGTGGCTTTAGGAGGAGAAAGATCGGGAGTGGAAAGAAGAAAGTGGATGGTGTTTCGAGGGAGAAAAAGGTGGAAGCGTGGCGGTTTCAGCGAGAAGGAAAAACTGAAGGGGAGGGCTCGCGCCGGAAAGGGAAGAAGAAGGGGCTCGTTTCGGATGGTGAGAGGAATAGGGTTGAGTGCGGCGAGATTTTCGAAGAAGGAGAAGGAGATGATGGAACGGTGAGAGGAGAAAAAGAGGGATATTGATGGTGGCGAGTAGAAGAAGACGGAGGGAGAAACCAGGTTTAGGGTTTTCTCGGCGGCGGCTGGTTTTGGGATTTTCCGGCGACGGATTTCTGAGATTTGGAAGAGGAAAAAAAATTAGGGTTTGGAGATTGGGGCGGCTAGGGTTTTTTTTGGGTCTGGGTGAACAGTAATGCCCTTCACTCTTGGGGTATGGTGAACAGTGGTTGTCCTTATATAATCCCAAGTCCTTAAATCCCTAAATCCAATTGCCACCATGTTTCTCATTCAATTCTTCTTGTAATTTTTCTTTTAATTTTTTTTTAATAATAAACTAAATTAATAAACCTATTTCCTATTTAATTTAATTCTAACTATTAATTATAATTTTAAGTCTAAGCTAATTAATTAAAACCTAATCTAATAAATTCTAATTAAATTCTAACTCTATTTTTAATCTATATTTTTTAAAAATTAAAATTTCTAAATTATAATTAAGTTCTAAATTAAATCTATCTAATTAAAAAAACAAATTTAAATCCTAATTTCTAATTCAAAACTAATTTAAAAAAAATAAAAAACATTATATTAACCTATCACGAGAAAAATGAAAAAAGATAGATATATATAAATGCCACGTGGCATACTCTTATTGGGCTAAAAAGCGAAAATGCCTGTTTTTGCTGAAAAATACGCTACGCTGTATAAGCGAGGTAAATTAAAAACAAAGTCGGGCAAATGAGAATTTTTAAAAAGGTAGGATAAATTTGGGGTATGACACCCGTGTCCCATGACACAGCCCGTGTTGCAGCCCCTTAAGAAGAAGGACATGACCCTTGATTCAGCAGCATGACATGGCCACCCGTGTCCCATGACACAGCCCGTGTCAGGGCCACTGAAAGTAAATTTGTTTTTTATCTCATTTTTAGGCTGGTTGCGCTGTCTCGAATGGCAGTTTAGGCATTTTGTGATGTAATTTGAATTTGGATATATTAGTCGCGCTATGGCTAAGAGGGAATTAATTTTGAATTTTGGATCTAGTTTTTACACTTGAGAAGGAGATTTCTGGAGAACAAGGATCGATCAAAAGCGGAAGCAATTGATGATCCAAGGACACCAATCCCGATTGTAATGACTTTCTCCCTTTTATTTTTAAGTGTATTTGTTTTGATTAAGAACATGAGTGGCTAAACCCCCATTTGTTAGGGGGTGGTCCTAAATTGCAATGTATTGACCTATGTTGGGATTATTCTACGAGATTTATGTTTTTCACCTTATATCTTTTATTTTGCAACGATCTTAATGCGAATTCGTATTGGAAAATAGAATTTGATTGATGTTTAGGTTTAGTTTTGGAAAACCAATCTAATGCTTTTTCAAAATAATATTACGGTAGATATTGCCTAGGAATGGGGATATCCCGTTGTAGCACCCCAAAATTTGCCCTGTCATTTTGACTACGACTGGCTTTTGTTTCTCTGTGTTTTGCATTTTTGCATATCATAGCATTTGTTCTCGAGGCATGGGATCAAGGTATTCCTGTGGCTCAAGGTACATCTTTCATGCAAACGACTGAACAACGAGTATAAAAGGATTTGGCATTTATTTTGCACAGCGGTCGGGCGACCGATTTTATTTTGTTTTACAGGGTATTTTCAGAATAGAAAACAGCATTCAGGCTCATCCCAGACATTTCCATGATCATAACATTTAACAGCAAATTCCATAGGCTAAACAGAGCTCAAAACAGCAAGAAACGGCAAAAGGGGCAGTTTTCCCTCCAAAAGGCGCCAAAATTCAAAATTCAAAGGTGTTAATCGATTAACGCATATGGTTAACCGATTAACCAATGGAAAATTAGCCCAGATTCAAAGATTCAACAGTGTTAACCGGTTAACGCATATGGTTAACCGATTAACCAATGCATATTTTGCCTTGCACGCGAGATTTCAAGCAACTTTCATTTGGGGTTCATTTTTGGCCTTTAGAAATTCTAATTTTGCATGTGGGAAGGATCTCGAACATCTTTAAAATTCAGATTTCCCTCCAATTTTCCAATCTACATTCCAATCCAAGTTTTCCAAACCAACTTCCAAACCTTACTTTGGATCCAAACCAAGAGTGTATTTAAGTGATCCACTCCAAACCTCACAATGAAGCTCTCATAATCCTCTCTCAATTATCCAATCCCAAAACCCTCACTCAAAGCTCTTCTCCTTAAGATCATTGATTCTTCATTGGAATCCTTGATTTCTAAGAGTTAAACCTTCATCAATTCACTCAATTAACTCCATTTCATCATCCAATTTTCGTGCACAATCAGATCTGAATTTGGAAGTGATTTTGGAAGTGATTATTTGGTCCATTTTAGCTTAATTGTGATAGATCTACACTTCTCCAACATGAATTTGCTTGGATATTGAAGTATTTCGGTCATCTTGCATTGGATCTTCAAAGTTACAGTTAGATCAACAATTACCGAAACAAATCTCCGATTCGTAGGTTGGATTTCTGATCCGTTTTAATTTTCTAACTTATTTGCATGTTCGTCATGTTAATCTTCATATATGATTAAATTGTGATTGTTTTGATCCGGTTGATCCATGATTTTTCTGTTGTATCATGTGTACATTCTGTTTGAATCAATGCTTGTTGATGTAATTTCGTGCATAATTGGTTATGTGAGCATTGGCATGTTTGGAGTTGTAATAAGCTGTTGAGAAGTGATTCTATTTGCTGTTTTTTTGCTGTTGACACAGTGTTAACCGGTTAACGCATATGGTTAACCGATTAACCAACTCAGATTTCAAATTTTTCAAACGTTTTCAAGTTGTTAACCGATTAACCTAAAGGGTTAACCAATTAACATGAGTAAATTTCCAGATTTTCAACTATTTTTCACAGGTTAACCGATTAACCTCCAGTGTTAACCGATTAACACTGTGTCAGCAGCTCTGTTTGTGCATTTTCTTGATTGTTCGCATGCCGTTTCACCTTGAATCATCGTAGATCGATACGATGCATTAGGAGTGAAATATTATGTATATTTTGTCGATGTTCTTATTATTTAATCGAGATTCATGTTTGTTCATTTTTCACTTGGATGCATGCTTGTGTATGTGGTTCAAAGTGAGCATTTGTTTGCATGTTTGATTTGCTTTCATCTTTCGCATTTCTTTCCATGTTTGCATCATTGTGCATCACTGTTGAGGTCGAGACGCGCTTGTGGTGGCTGTTGCCCCACACATTTTTTCCTCCCTCCCACCATTCTAAATGTACATTTTCATGTTTGCATTGTGCATTTTATTGTGTATTTTTTTTGTCTTTCCTTGCCATGTTCCCATAGGATTTAACCTTCTTTGTTTAAGGTTGGTTATAGACATTAGGATTCAAACCATTCATGATAACATTAGGGTAGATGTTTCCCCTTTCGAATCCGAACCATAGCTCCATTTTGCATGCTAACACTAGGTGTGATTTAGTTCCCCTTAGACCTTCTGTGCGTCTTTCTTCTTCTCACCTCAAAACATGATAACTCATCTAATAAAGACGATGAACGTTGTGCGCTACGAGCCTTAAGCTACATGGGGAATGATGAGTGAGGGGTCTCCCCTTACTTGACTAGAGTATTTAGTGTACGTCCCATTTGGGGTCGATACGCGAGGCATTCGCCTCTATGTCACAAGTCTTTAGTGCAACATGAATCACAAACTGAATTAATTCACTTCACTAAAAAACACAAAACAAAATTAAACTCCTTTTTATCCTTCAGGATTTAATAACGGAAAACCATTTTCATGGAAAAGAGTGTTGTTAAGCTTTTGTTTGACCGCAAACAACCTTTGTCCCTAACTGCTAGAACAGAGGTTTAACCCTACTCGGTTTAAAAGACTTGAACCGAACTGGTGTTCTTCGTAGCCTGAAATACGTTTGCTCTGATCTTTCATACCATATGAAAGTACGTAGGCACAATACGGCGATGTATTGGCGAGCAACCTTCCCACCTTTTAGCCGTAGTTTTCTGAACTACATTGACTCTGACTTTCCCATTGCACGAGGGAATACTTAGGCATAGAGTGGTGATGCTCTATCGAGTCTCTTTTTATTTTATTTCATTCTTAAGCCGTAGCTTAGATAGTTTTAACACACTCTTAGATAGACAACAAGCATGGATCCCGTCGAGTACCACGGACGTGAGGGGTGCTAATACCTTCCCCTTGCGTAACCGACTCCCGAACCCAAGGTCTGATTGCGATGACCAATCTTATCTCGTTTCGTTAAGTTTTTTTTCGATCGTTTCCTTTCACTCTCTTTGGGATAAATAACGAACGATGGCGACTCTTCTATTTTCCGCCGGGTGATTTTCACAGTAGTGACAGCTGACGACTCTGATGGGGAATGTGATGGTTCCCTATGCGAGTCAATCCTAGCGCTTGTTTGTTGCGTCTTTGGGTGTTTTCTTTTGTGCAGTTATTTTTGCTTTATGTACATATCTGTTGTATATTATTTTATTATGTTGTTGTTGTGCTATCGGTTGGGTTGTTCCATTAAGAGAGAAGTCAGACTCAGGCTTGAGTATACACATA